GGCCGCTCCTCCGCGGCGACGCCGAGGCCATGGCCACCCGGATCGACAAAGAGGCTTGCCGGGCGGCGTACAACCTGGTGCGCGACGACGGCTCGGTGGTCATCTGGTGAGCCTGTCCCTGCGCGCCGGGCGCATCGTCCCCGAGGGCCGCACTGCCCGCGCGCCCTGCAGCCCGCGGCTGACGTGTGTTCTTTTCTTCCCCAACCCAAAGGGTGACTTTTAAGTACGACGGCGCCACCATCGTGCCCGGGGACCAGGGAGCGGAGTATGGCGACTTCATCCAGCAGTGCACAGGTAGGGGCGCGGGGGGCGGGGGGCGCCGGGCGCTCGGCTCCGAAGCCTCGGCCGCGGGGCTGGCCCACCTGGCTGCCCTTGGGCAGTACCCTCCCGGGCGCGGGCGGGACGGTGCCTGTGCCGCTGCGGGCCATCCCTCCACACGGTCCTTTCGTGAGAGGACAAAGTTCAGCTTCAGCCGCTCCCCGCAGGGCCCTCTGGGTGGGTCCTCAAGACGGGATAAAGACTAAGGGGGGGCTGCTGCCCGCGGGGGAGGAGGAGCCGTCAGCTGTCCCCTGCTTTCCCTCCCTGGCACTGTCTGTCTGTCTGCGCGCTGATGGCCCAGGCTGTGGTTAGGTGCGGATGAGCGGCTTACGGCTCACAGGAACGCAAGCGTGCACACTTTCATTTAAACAAACGGAGCGAGATGCTGGGTGCGTCCATCTGTGTGAGGACCTCCAGCAGGCCGAGCGGATGCAGTTTGGGAGAGGACCTCGCAGTGGGGTCCCAAGGGGCCACCCCTCAAGGCAGGGGGCTTGGGTTGGGAATGGCCCATGCTATGATCTGGGAGAAGGGTACACAGGTGTGCACGTAGGAGGAACACTTCCCAGCCGGACCCTTGGCATCAATGCCCTCCGGATACTTGTCTGTTGGTGGTGGAAGCGGGAAAGGAAGAACACGCGGTGGGTGGAGCCCAAACCCAGACTCCAGCCCTGGAGGACAGAGTCCAACTGCTCCTTGGGGTTTGTCTTTGTGGAAACCGACTGCTCCTTTCTTCTGTGAAGAGGGTTGGGTTGGAGAGCTTTACCCACTGGGACACCAGGGCTGTCAAGGGCTCTCTTAAAGGCTCAGGTTTGAGAACTCGAGTCTCTCAGGGTCTCTGGCTTAGGGACAGACAGCCTGGTGGTCAGGCCGTGGACACAGAGCAAGATGGCTCAGGTTTCAATTCAAGTGTGTCCACTTCCCAGCTGTGGCCAGGACAAAGCCATTCGCCTCCTTGGAGGGACCTTGGTTTCCTAATCTGTGGCCACAGACTGGGTGAGGACAAATGCGTCTGTCAGGGGCTCAGGATGAGCTACTCCAAGTGCAGGAGAACAGCTGCCCCTTCCCTGGCCTGCTGCTCTGGCCAAAGAGTGTTCACTTTTCATTCAGTGCAGAGGGCAGTAAGTACCAAGGTGTTCTCTTTGTGTGCTTGTTTTTAAAGCAAACGCTCTCTCAAGTAGAGTTCATTCATTGTTTCTACAAACTGTGGGCTTAAGTCTCCCAGATGGGTGATACCACTCCCTGGGGGCGGTGCTGGAATGGGGGTGGGTGTCTGCTGGTGCTGCAAAAGCGGAGGCCTACATTTTATCCAGGATGATGGCTAGAGTTCAGAAGTTTTTAATTGCCAGTGGGGGTGGGGGTGGGGTGGGGACGGACATTGGGGGAGGATACTGAGTCTTTCCCCCCCCCCCAGAAAAGGGGGTGGGTGGTGGGTTAAATAAGTCTGGGGACCCGTGTCGCTGTGTGCAGTGTAAATAGCTCCCATTTCTAAGTGACAGGGCCCCAGTGTGGAATGTTGGTGGGACCTGTATTTGAACCCAGGCCCTGGCTCCTCAGCAGTGCATGCTCACTCTTAAACCACCCACCCCTGCCCCCCATCCTTGAGTGCACAGCTGGGTGACCCAGGAGGGTTTGAGCCCTGCTGGCTGACCTGCATAGGGGCTCATGAACTTGGTGGTGGTGGGGATAGTCACCAAGGGGCTGATCTTCCTCTGCTGGTCACCCACCCACTGCTGGGTTCCATCTCAGAAGCTATTGTTCTGGCCACGGAGGGGAGAGGGTAACCAGTCAGGAAGGATTCTGAGCAGATGCGCTGGGCTTCTGGCCCCGCCCACCACCCCTGAGCGGCTTCCCTCTGGCCAGTGGGCAGGGCCTCTCCCTCCCCCAGTCTGTGGTTTTCTACTCAGACTCTTTCCCTGGGGACCAAGAGGAGGGGAGTGGGGAGCCTGGGGAAAGCCGGGAGCAGAGGATACTCCCCCAGAGGCTTGTGGGTCTCAGCATTGATCAGGGGATCAGAAACCCCCCTCAGCAGCATCTGGAAGTCGGCCTCCCAGCACAACTGGACAAACGTGGAGGAGAGTTGTGGTGGCTGTGTCTCTGCTCCAAAAAACTGTTTCCTCCCCCTGCCATGGCCTCATAGCCCAGCGACCAAGCCCCCCCCCCCTTCCCCAAACCCTACGGTTATCAAGTCAATTGAGACTCATCTTGACCCTGCCAACCTTTGGGTTTGGGGCTAAGAGCTTTAACTGTTGTACCACCAGGCCCTCCATGAGTCGGAAACCTACCGCCATGGGGCTGATTCCCACTTAGCCACTCTGTGCAGGGTCTCCGAGACTTAGTTTTTGCAGGAGCAGACAGCCTCCTCTTCCTCCCCGGGAGCAGCTGGCAGGTTTAAACTGCACACCTCCCAGAGCAGGGCCCAGCGCATGACCCGTAGCACCACCAGAGCTCAGTTATATTTGGTTTTGGTGGCAAAAGCGATGGCACCGTAGATGCTGTTTGACAGGCAATGCCTCCCTCTCCTTTTAACATCCGTCTAGCATCTTCCTGGCCCAGGTGACCACAGCCCCTTTTAAAATGGATACACAGCATTTCTCCTGCATCTGTGCAGCAGCGCTTTACTGATCCTATATTGATGGGCCTCAAAGTTCTCCGTGGCCAGCAATTTTTTTCTGGAAAGTTACCAGGAAGCTGGGACCGCTTCCCAGCTTTCTGCCAGTGCAGCAGTGGGAGGCCATCACACCCAGTGCTGAAGAGCTTGAGCCAGCAGCCTGGCAACAGTACCCATGCCATGAGACCTTGGACGAGTCTCCCAGACTCTCTGTTGCCTCACCTGCATGATGGGTGAGATCGTTGTACGGAACTAGCTGGGATGTTGTGAAGCATCACTGACATGCTTCGTGCGAGGGCAGCTCTACCCTGTCCTATGGGGGGGCTTGACTCAATAGGGATGAGATTGGAGTTTCTTTCTTTAAAAAAAAATTTTTTTTTAACATTTTATTAGGGGCTCATACAACTGTTATCCCAATCCATACACACATCAATTGTGTAAAGCGCATTTGTACATCGTTTCTCAAAACATTTTCTCTCCATTTAAACCCCCGACATTAGTTTTTTTTTTTTTTTTAACATTTTATTAGGGGCTCATACAACTGTTATCCCAATCCATACACACATCAATTGTGTAAAGCACATTTGTACATCGTTTCTCAAAACATTTTCTCTCCATTTAAACCCCCAACATTAGGTCCTCATTTTTCCCTTCCCTCCCTGCTACCCCCTCCCGCATGAGCCCTTGATAGTTTATAAATGGGTATTTTGTCATATCTTGCCCTGTCCGACGTCTCCCTTCATCCACTTTTCGGTTGTCTGTCCCCCAGGGAGGAGGTCACACACAGTTCCATGTAATCGGTTCCCTCTTTCCTACCCATTCTCCTTTTACCCTCCCTGTTTTGCCACTCACACCACTGGTCCTATAGAGCTCATCCGTCCTGGATTCCCTGTATTTTCAGTTCCTATCTGTACCAGTGTACCTCCTTTGGTCTAGCCTGACTTGCAAGATCGAATTCGAGTCATGGTAGTGGGAGCGGGGAGGAAACATTTAGGAACTAGAGGAAAGTTGTATTTCTCATCATTGTTTCATCGCACCCTGACTGGCTCATCTCCCCCAAAATTTGTTTTTCTTTAAAAAAATTTTTTTACATAAATCATTTTATTGGGGGCTCTTACAGTTGTTATAACAATCCATACATCCATTGTATCAAGCACACTTGTACATATGCTGCCATCATCCTTTTAAAAACATTTTCTTTCAACTTGAGCCCTTGGTATCTGCTCCTCCTTTTTCCCTTCCCCCCGCCCCTCCCACCCTCAGGAATCTTTCATTATAGATTGTTATTGGTTTCATATCTCACACCGTCCACTGTCTCCCTTCACCCCCATTTCTGTTATTTGTCCACCTCGGGGAGGCTTATACATCAGTCATTGCGATCGGTTCGCCCTTTCTCGCCCTTTCCCCCCCACCTTCCCCTGCCTTCTTGGTTTTGCTACTTCAATTACTGTTCCTGAGGGGTTTATCTGTCCTGGACTCTGTGTGTACCAGTGTACATGCTCCGGTCTAGCTGGATTTGTACTGTAGAACTGGGTCATGCTAGTTGGGGGGGGAGGAGGGAGGGGAGGGGAGGAAACAGTAAAGAACTAGGGAATGTTGTGTTTGTAGGTGGAGATTGTAGTTTCTGATTGTTCCGGCGTCCGTGACCCAGTTGTCCAGGGGAGATCCGGAGCACGACCTCTCAGTGCCTTGTAAGGCGCCTGGTCTCCACATAGCTCCACTGGCCTGCCTGTTTGTGCGTTCTTTGTGCCTTTATCCCTGTGGTGAAGATGCCACTTGCCCGGCGACCTGACTGAGGTGTCCCCAGTCCAGAAAAACACGTGTCACACGTGCTTCCTGGTGACATGTCACCATAGAGCAGCGGTTCTCAACCTGTGGGTCGTGACCCCTTTGGGGGGGGGCCCAATGACCCTTTCACAGGGGTCACCCGATTCATAACAGTAGCAAAATGACAGTGATGAAGTAGCAACGAAAATAATTTTCTGGTTGGGGGGAGTTACCACAACATGAGGAACTGTATGAAAGGGTCGCGGCAATAGGAAGCTGGAAACCCCTGCTCTAGAGCTTTCTTGGCTGTGATCTTTATGGCAGCGGATAGCCAGGCCTTCCTTCCTCAGTGCCGCCGGGTAGGTGTGAACCTTCAACCTCCAGGTTAGCAGTTGAGTGCAGACCATACCACCTGGGATCCTGTCTATCCATATTAGCTGTACTGTAGGACCTCTTTAGGAGTTGTTGCAGAGTTATTAGGGAAGGACTGTTTGTGGATTTCACAGATGTCGTGCTGTCCCCTAAGGAGAGTTTGTGGCGTCATGGCTTACATGTTGGGTGGCTGACCTCAAGGTCAAGTTTGCACCCACTAACTTCTCAG